TCTCTGCAAAATCTCTGGCTACAATTTCGCCAAAACGCCTCATATGTGGCCGCTCCCAAGTAGGCGGGGCTTGTTGGGAAACGTCTCCTCTGATGGCCAATAGGCGATAAGTGCCAGTATGTAATTTATGAAAATTATAAATATAGCTCATGTGACTGTTCACATTCATTGCTGCCATGATTGAACGAGCTTATTCACATGTGATTACAATTTTGTTATGTATTTAATGGAAACGCTGCAATTGGCTTTTATTTCCATTGACAAATTCCTCATCTGAAAACTGCACTGTATGTGCTCAGCTTATCCTCTGACGGTATATTTTATCTTAACACGAAACAATAAATGTGACAAAGTGTGAAAAAAATAAGTAAAAGGTGTGACAGAAAACCAAAAGTAGAATTCAGTAAGAAATCTATTTTTTCTACACTACTGTAAATAATACAAGATAGCTGAGTGCTATTGTTTGAATGTGGCCCCACTCATGCGCAGGCCTCCTTTCTGCCATATTGCCCCTCAAGCAGGGCGGGAGGATCTTTCCAAGGTAAAGTGCAATTCTTAGCGCACTGCTGCCTGTGCAGTCTCCCCAGTGGCCTTCACATCCTCGGCGTGATGGATGTTGTTTCAGATTCGTTCTCTCGCTGCTACTGATAAAACAGCCTTGTCAAAACACATCCACCACCAGTGTAAGCAGATAAAAGGTAGTTGCAGATGATTAAAAAGATTTGTGCTTTCCGTCATTTATGATGCCGACTGCCAAGGATCGGGGCTGTGACGGATGACTCAGACAAGACAGTTCGGCGTGAAGCCTGACTGCAAATGTTGCTGGTAATGACCAGAGTGTGTGTGCACGTTTGGTTTTTTTATTATTATTTATTTATTTTTTTTAGATGCGGCTAATGAGCATGGCCATTAGGCATAAATGACATTTTAAAAACCTGGGGAGCGGGGAATGAAGAAGCACCGTGGATAGACTCCCCCCGTCGGCAGCAAATGTGCCATTAGCATCTGGTGGATGCAGCACCCAGTTCACACAGATGACCTCCACCCGGAGTGTGGAGGTCTGTCACTGTAGGGGGACTTGGGAGAGGAAGGCTCATTACGGAGGAACTGTCACATCAATCCCATCTTCGGATCTCAGACATATCAGCATGCTTCATACTTCTGTGCGTTTGGCGTATGAGTTGATGAAAGATGTTTCTTCTGCGTTGTGGCATTTTAAGGTGACAGCTTTCACAGTGCAGATTTTGGTTTGAGAAAAGACTTCAACGTGTTCTTAATGCAGATGTCTGCGATGTATACGTCGCAAAAAATGCAGATCATCCAGAGAAATACAAACTCGCATTCCTAAGCAGTGCAGTAGATTTTCTTTTTTCTGGTGAAACACTTAAATGTTTCGGAGTGTTCAGCTTCGACGAATGACCGGCTGGTTGGAAACTCCAAAGTAACTCCTATCAGTGAATGCCCAAGTGGCACTGAAAACACTTTTTAGTGTAGAAGCTGCTTAGAGAAGAAGGCAAAACGATATCTGTTCTTAGTGACAGCAAGTGACAAAAATACATTTCCTTAATGGAAACACAGTATTAAAGCCATTCCAATGTCTAATCCACTATAAATCTAGAATCATCTGCGCTAAGTTCACCTTTGTCTTTGAAGCAAGATGATAAAAGTTGAATGCTGTTAACATTTTCGAAGTCTGAAAGTCAGTCATGATTAGCATGCCAGTGAACACACATTTCTTGCCATCTTTAAAGTTACGTTCCGACCGAAAACGTTTTCGCGCGTCAGAAAGGCAACCAATGATTCAAGTTGGATGCTTGATATCAAGCGTCAAAATCCCTCTGGACTTCTCAGAAAAGAGTGGAACGGCTTTGGAAGGAGCCTCTTGACTTTAGGTTGTTTTCCTCTTTGTTCAATGGAAGATGAAATTGAGAGCATTTGTAGAGTTTCACCTCCTACTCCAGAAGCTGAGCGTTGTTTTTGGCATTATTTTCGTCTCACCTGAGCCCAGTCGGATGACCTGCTGACCCTCATCAGTGCTCATCTCATGCTAGGGCTCCAACTACAGGCCCATAGGTCACGTAGCAGGGTCTCTTTAATTGGTTTATGTTGTGCAAGGACGCTCAAAATCTGAAATAATACAGTGCCAAACACACACAAAATCAACCACAACTTGTGCTGCAGCACTTCTGGATCCCACATGCAAAGTCCAACCGTAGTCTTTGCATGTAAACTTGATGCCCCTGATGCTCAAATTGTGTTCGCTCTTAATGCACTGTAGCATACATAAGGCTCTTCACACTCAAGTTGACTATGATAGACCAGTGTTTCCTCAGCTGGCGCCATGTTGACCTGGCCTCCTGTTGACCACCTCTGCCAGGTGTGGGCCACAAAAGGGCCGTCGTTCTTTCCGGATTTCCAGCGCAAGTGCATTTTATAGACCAGAACTTGGCCAGAGCAATGTTTTCATGTGGTTAGCATCTCAACTTGATAAAATCAGTTAGGTGTTCACCAATAAAGAAGACTTCTGTCACGCCTAATAAAAAAAATCTGAAATGTCCTTGTACTGCTTTCTAGACCTATGGAGAGCTGTCATTAGATGCCCTGCTGATGTGGATATCCACAACAGAGAACATGTGGTATATAGGGATCCAAACAATGATGACGCTGTGTAACAAACCAAAAGGACATATAATTTAAAAGTTAACAATAAAAGCCACATTGGACCCCACACCCAATGATCTCTCATAACATGTTATTGTGTTGGGATGCTGTAGCTAAAGAAACCATCCACAGCCAAAGCACAGTAATCTCTTTCTCATCTCTGTGTTTACAAAGTTTGGTAAAGGCATCCTTTGACAGGTGTGATGCACCACGCTGCTCCCAATATGCATTCCTGTTAAGGCAGTGTGGAAATCAATAAAACAGCATTTTCTTGAACAGCTGGTGTTTTTCTTCTGTCTGATCCAATTCGTTCCCTTTCCAGTGGTTTGTTATTCTGACTGCACAGGCTGAGCAGGTTTCACAGACTGAAGGTCAACACTCAGACCACGATCTTCCATGTAAAGAACCTCAGACCTCCATTTAGTTTAACTATCTGTTGCAAATATGACAGAGATGTAGAAATTGGTTGCAATATTGTCAAATATCTTACTGATATTGAACATATTTTCTTGTCTTTACCCGGCATATAAAAACTATGTAAGTTTTTATACTCTTGTTGACTACAAAGTCCAAACAAAGTAAAGACTAAGCAGCTCAACGTCTCTCTACAGAACGCTTCAAAGTCACATTTGGATGTAATTAGATGGTTCCCCCCCACCCCCAACCAAAAAACAACCATTTATACTAATATTAAAGCTACTGACTCTGCTACAGTTGTTTTTTATTTGTGGGAAAAGAAATCCAAAGTTCTCTTTTCTTTCTGCACTCTTGCCTTCGCAGTGGGAAGTTGAGCAACATCAACATGAAGCCAGTGAAGCAGACACACGCAGACTATATAAATAAACTGCTGCTGTTTTATACCTTTGCATTTGTGGGTCTTTTTTTTATGTCAATGTATCAATACTAACAAATACCAGGTATTTGAACAATGTTTTTAATTAATTTGATTGGAGGGAGAAAAACAGAGAAGTGTGGATTTTTACGCTTATTTTTTTGCGTTCTGCTACGTGGGAACCAGCGTCCTCTCCTCATATGTGCCGCAAATCAAACCATTTCATACATGAATTTATATTGTTGCAAACAATTAGAGTGTTGCTATGTAAGCGTCAGGATCAGCTCGGTCCTTCCTGTGAACACGCGGAGGTGTTTGTTGTGGTTGCCGAACCCGGGGTAAAGCATGCTTTCCAGGCAGTGGTGACCTTTCCAGTATCCTCCGTAGGAATTGTCAGGCAATACCGCTCTGTTGCTCTGAATACGTGGTGGTGAGAGAGGAGGTGGTGGTGGTGGGGGAGCGAGGGTGTGAAGAAGAACAGAGGAGATGCTGAGGTAACGCTGTACGTGGGCTGTTCTTTTCCCAGGTCGAGAATTTCCCTGGAAGCGATGGATGGAACGGTGGAAAACACGCCGCAGCGGATGCTGCGCTTGCTATCACGATGCTGGCAACCAACCTTCCCCGCAAACCACAAGCATATAAAACGCAGTCCCAATTTACAGTCAAATGCTCTCACTTGACTTGCAAGACCAAACTTAGTTCGCTACTTTGTTTCGGAGAATAGTGTTGAAAATGTGCCTCAAAAGGCTGAGGAAGAGATAAAAAACAATAACATTGTTTCTAAGTTACTTGGGAGGAAACCAGGTGAAACTGTGATGATTGTGTGTGTAAGGAGAAGTGAAAGGAACAGGTACTCTGCAAATTTTTTAAATTATTAACTTTGTTTCCATTTCCAGTGTGTTCAAAACTTTGTCAAAAAAATACAAAAAAACCCTCAAAAATTTTGGGATTGTCGCCTCAGGTCACCACACGCAGCCATAATCTGTGATCTTTCAATGTGTCACATTCATAAATCACATTTACGGATCACAGATGAACAGAAAGTTTCACTCAGGATGGAAAACAATGCGCTCCCTTTAAAGCCTCCGTAATAAACAACGCCACAGAAAGCAGCGGCATGAGGAGAACCCTGTTAAATGAGGTCATCTCGCCGCATCCTTTGATCCCTCCTTTCTTCATCTCAGCGGCAAGTGGCATATAAGAGGATCTATCTTAGCGAACAGTTTTGAGCCCCCAAAATTACAAACAAACAAAAGGCGAGGGATCGATAATGTGTGTCTCACAGAATGATGAACTGGCACTTCAGAGGGGGAGAAAAAAAAATCAATGTTGCGTCCCCTCTCTCTATCTTCCTTTTTCTCTCTTTCTCTCTCCTTTGGTCTCTATCCTTCTCTGTGGACCCTAAACTCTCTTCACAGTCCTTCTGCAGAGGTGCTTAAGTGTGTGCTCAGAGCTGGCTTTGTTTCTGCGCTTTAATGGCCCTTTGTTTTTCTTCTTCCTTTTTTAGCCTGGAAGACCCCTGCCAATTTGATGTGTGAACGCACCCAGCGATAATGGCCCAGAGGACACACAGTGGACGTAAGTGTAAGTGCTTCTCCGTCTGATTTACGGCCCCGGTGGTCCTTCACCCCGGCTGCCCTGTGGGCCCCCGCCTATTGATCAGAATACATCGTATTCCTTAAATCATAGCGGGCCTGCTTGGAAGAACCTGGCGGAATGAAAGCATATATATTCACTTCTCAACCTTGGACTATCTAATGCCCTAGGTGTCAAACGCATTTTTATTTTTGGGCCGAGTCAAGATCAAGAATGTTCCAAAAGGGCCGACTGTGGCACAGTGCACTGATGAAATCCATTAGCAGACTGTTGAAATATGGATAAATAGCAATGTCTGCATTCAGCACATTCTTGAATTTAAATGGTGTTGAGCATATTTACACATTCATCATCCCAAAATGATCTGTGATGATTTTAGTGAGTTTTTTACAGTCAGAATCATGGACTTTGAAAAATTTGTATGAAATAAACTTGTTTTTGAGGTTATGTATATTGGTAAATGTGACTTCATTTTTAGTCACCATTTCAATTACAGACTATAACTTAACATTAAGCGTTAAGTAAAGCTGAGCCAGCAAATTAAGAAATCCTGCCACCTGCAGGTGGGAGCTAGCATCACTTAAACTCAATGTTTTTGAAATTGTTCACAAATTATTTTGTAGATTTTGCCAAAAAGTGTGGCAACAAGTTGATTTTGTGGTAATTTCTGCTTTTCTTTTATCGATTTGTCTTTTTGTTTTTTGGGGGGTATTTTTTGTCTTAGCAATCAAAATCATCTAATTTATGTGGTGCAGCAGAAGTAGGAGGTACTGCCACCTGCAGGTAAGAGTTTGTCACTTAATCCCGATGTTTTTTACGGAGCCCCCGAGGGGACAAGAGGAATTTTTGTTTCTTTTGCGTTCCCTTGCAAAACTGTACTGATCAGTGATACGGCACAATTGAATACTGCGTTACCTTGCAATACTTTTGCACAGTAACTCAAAAGTTTTGCGAGGGAACGCAAAAGAAAAAAAAATTCCCCTTGTCCCCTAGGGGGCTCCGTAGTTTTTGAACATTTTTGTTGGAAATTGCAAATAACAGCACATCTTGAAGGTTCTTTGCACGTGACTCTGGAATCCAGATAAAAACCTATGGCGGTTTGATGCATAATAGTTGACGCTGCTTTTTTTCTTTGAGTTAAATTAATATTTTCCCCATCCTAGAAACAGAAGGAAGTTCATTATTTGCCTAAATGTAGAATTAATAAATTTCTCCAAGGGGAAAATTGGATTCCAAGAGCTTTGACTGAAGCTAGAAATTAACTGTTGCACTTTGGTAATCCTCTAGGATCACATTCACCACAGAGAGAGAGAGAGAGAAAAATGTGTTTCTTGGCTAAAGTTACGCTCTGCTAAATGAAGTACAGAACGGCTCCAATAAATTTTAGAGGCAGGAAAAAAAAAATCCTAAAGAAGAATATTAAAACTGGGAATGTTTCTTTTAGAGCAGTGTTTATGTCATGCACTTCCCTAAAAAGAAATAATGAACAGTTCCTAACGTTAGCCATAAGTAAGAAATCAATTAATGAGATAATAAATTAAAACAAACTCAATTTCCTTTTGCATAATTTACTGTTTTTCTCTTTTCTCTGTTTACCATGATAAAACTCTTCAGTCTGGTGTTTTGGTCTCAACTTGTTCTTTTTTTCGATGGACGAGATTTCAGAATTCATTTTATTTGTTGTTTCTGTTATTTATTTCAGACATTTAAAACGTCGTCCAGTTTCCAGTGTTAAATGTTCACTAGAACTGAAGGTTTATTGATTCTTGAGAATGTGTTCTTGCGTTACGATGTCGTTATTATAAACCAACGATATTATCATGTATTGCAATAACTTCTGGGACAATTTACCGGCCAGCAAAATTTGTCACCGTGACTTTTGTCGTCATCATAGCAGAACTACGAAATACCGGAATAAAACTACATCCGGATCAGCCACCCTTTAAGCCTCGCGAGTCGCCATTGTCTTCCTGAGAGCCGCGTCGGCGCTAATCAGCTGGCCTGTCCTGGGTGTCACCTGCCTGTGATTCAGCCGAGCCTCGAGACGAGCCTCGGCAGGAGTGGGACGGCGGTGCTGTCAGCTGTGGGGAAACTCTTCCTGTCAGCCCTGCCTCATAAAATGCACTGCTCTGAGATGAAGGCCCAGACAGCTATCCATGAGGGGTTCAGGGTGGGAGGAGAAGGAGGGTTATCCATACGGCTATCTATCTGCTGCATCCATCTCCAGAATCTATTTGTCTCCGTTTTTTTTTTTTTTTTGTCTTTGTTTGTCTCCAGGGGTGCAGCTCGGCTGCCGTGCGTGCATGCGTGTTTGTGTGTGTGTCAGCTGCTGAATATCCACGGTACATGCTAGGAGAGTTTGACGAGTCGCTCTGACACCTCCGCTCTCTCCACCCTCATTTTCATTTCCGCTCTTGCGTCGGCACTTTACCTCCCAGCTCCTCCGGTTTGCCGTTCGGCTGCGAGCCGTGCGTTCCGTACAGTCAAGATAAAAAAGAAACTCACGCCGCACACACACTCACACACACTCTGCTTTTACATTACTTACCTGAGAAAATAGGATGTTAAAAATAGAACGGGCTGCGTATCGTCGGGAACAATGTCTGAAAAGATTTCATTTGGAGCTTTTATCACTGGTCTGTGAAGGCTTTCATGCTAAAATTGGCAATTTATTGTATTTTGTTTAAGATTCTTCTCACCTCCTCATGATGGAAACACTTTCAATCTCTGTTTAGAATCTTTTGGAAATGTCTGCATTGGGTCACTTCTACCATATGGTTGCATGTCTTTCAATAAAAGCAAGAAAATGATTTTAGTTTCAGTGGCTTTTATTGTAAGCCAACCCCCAATGGTCGACTTACCAGTGGTAACCCATTGGCTTATAACTTTCTTATAATGTTAAGAATTTTCATTTATCTTTGTCACAATAAATTTCAATTAATGATGTTTAAAGTCCTCCAAAAAAAAAAAAAATTGCATCGCTTTGTTAATTGAGAGTATCAATAAATATCAATACATTTGAAAATTTGATCAAATACAATTTACTGTGAGCAGTTTCAGTGAGACACAACACAGTTCTTTAAATGACTGGTGTTCAAAAATGGACATAATCTCCTCCAGGACTTTGAACACTGGCGTGTTTCCATTAAGCAAATTTATTTTCTGAATGTCAAATTGTGCAATTATATGGTCGCTGGACCAGAGCTAATGCTCGCTTCTGTGGTTGTGCAAAAGCGGTTTCTCCTTTGTGTAGTCGTGTGTGTTTGTTGTGTGAACATTAAGATCGGCAGACGTTTGGTAAAGTGTTTGTGGATTCCAGGTGCGCAGGAGGCCTGTGATTCATAAACAGCTGTAGAGATAAAGATTTTTCCACCAAGTATTAAGAGGTCTATAAGTTATGTTAAGGGGAACTTTCTTAAAAATCAAAATACCTCTTAAAAACACTTTTGTCACAATTTCTACTTTTCAATCGTCTTGTGGTTTTGAATTGATGTCCCTGTTTTCCTTTTAGGCACAAACTTCTTGGTTAAATGAACATAATTTTGAGTCTAAATCTGCTATACTACACAGCTGGAAAAGACGTGATGTTTTTGTGAGTACATCAACATTTACAACACTTTTCATAAACAGTCCAAAGCAGAACCTTCAGTGGAGATACAGTTACTGAGAACCGATTTCGCCCTCAACATACACAGCGGCTTAAGTGTGTGTATTTTTCTGCTTCCCAAAATAAACACAACTTTCATTCTAAAAAAAAAAAAAAAAAGTAATACTTAAATCCCTCTGATTATAAAAATCCTTCAGTTATAGCCCAGATATTACTGGCTCAAGGTTATGTCTTAATGTTAGAAATTAGTCACTTGGACTCAGTTTTGGTGTTTCTGCCAGGTAAAAGCTTTAGCTCTGGTTTTCTCACAGGTAAATTCATCCATATTTGAGCTGAACAGCTTAAGCTGAGCGACTTCACTGAACATTTGAGTCACTCAGCAGTTTTTATTTTCAGTCGTCCCATCAATAGTTTCATCCATCTCCATTGTTCTACATGTGTGGACTCAACACCTGCATCGGGCATTTTCACTGCACACCCATCCTCTGATTGTCCGTTTCTAATAAACAAGTGTTATGGGAGGTAAACAGTAGTTATTAACGTCTCATCTTTTCAAAAGAGGAAAGCTGCCATGTTGACAGGAGGTTTGTTTGAATCCATATCTGAGAGACAGTATTGATCAGCTTCTTGCTCTCTGCATATTTCTCAGCATTGTTTATTTTTTTTCCCAGGCAGTAATGATTATCCCCGTGTGGAAAAAAGTAAACAGCAGCATGGAGAAGTTGGAAATCCTTTCTTCTTTCCAAGTTTTCCCTCATCATCACAAGAGCCAAGGCCTTTATTTTCAGACTCTGCAGAAATATCAATATGGATTTAGGAGTCTCCCTGAAGCGAGGTCTTCAGCTAATTAAATCTGTAATCACTTTGTACTGTAAAAACACAAGCAGAGGAAGAGGGGAGGTGGGACACGGTGGTTTAAATGGGAGCCACTGGAACTTTATTTAACAAAGCTAATTGGGTCAGAGCTCCTTATCCTCGTGAAGCGCCGGGGTTACTTGGCATCCAGCTGGAAGACTTACAGCTCTTTTGCCCTCAAACAGCCAGACTCCCTGTGAGAGTGTGAGCCGGAGTGTAGAGCCGCCAAGTTCAGGAGCAGAGCGACCGATGTCAGGGCGGCGGCGAAAAGGCGCGCTAAATTGTCGTTTCATTGTTTCAAGTCGATGGTCGCACAACGAGGAGTGGAATGGGATTCGGAGGCACTCCGGGCTGAGACAGGATTCCGATAAGGGAAAGTGTCAAACCGCCGGACGAATCCATGAATCATCTCTCCGCTGGGTTCTTCATTAGTGGAAACTGCGAGTGTGACTCAGTCACTTGTGTCCCGACGAAGCAATTATCTGCACGTAGACTCGATAGTCCCTAATTGTTTCTCAGAAGATCG